TGAGGTGCTCTGGCATGGGACACCACCTTTCTCCAACTGGAGTCCCTCCCATGGGCTGCAGCCCTTCCTGAGCTGCTCCGGTGTGGAACACCCCTGCATGCTGCAATCCTCCCAGCACAGAACTGCAACAGTGGGGGCTGCTTCTTCCCACAGGGTCTGAGCTGCCTTCAGGCACAGCCACCTTAATTGGACCTGTGGGCCCCCCCCCAGATAGTATATCAGTGTCTGCTCCAGCGTAGACCTCCATGGGTGGTGGGAGTAGCTGCCCTGCCATCTCACCACAGGATACAGGGGGGTCTCTGCTCTGGTACACCTCCCCCCACTTTCCTCCTCTGTTCCTTCACTGACTTTGCCTTTCTATAGCAAGTCTCCAATCTGGGAAGTGGCCTGTAGTTATCACTGCATTACAGACAAAAAGTATCAGTATCGGAGATGGGCAGAATGTCTTAAGGCAGGACCCTCAACTTTAAAATTTTATTTTACTTTCTCATTTCCAATGCAAAGTTCAGGACAAGTTCACTAAAGTTTGTGAACCCTTCATCAACAGATGGCTAAGTTTCAAGCAAGCCTGAAATGGTATATGGTTTGGGTGCAAATCAGGATGGGTTTGATCCCAGGCCACTTGAAACACAGCATTTGGCTGCATGCGACTTTGTATTTCAGCCTTCATTGCAGCCCAGACCTAGACTCACCCTGACTGAAGCTTTTCCTTAAAGCACTGTGAATGAAGGCTGCTGTACTTTCCACCAGTTTAGTACTTGCAGAGTACATCTAGCTGTAGCATCTTAATAGTGCACAGAAATGGTGAGCATTGTATACTTGTCTTGGATGGATGACTTAGGTTCCACTTCAGCTAGATGGTCATTACAGACACATCCATATGTCTAAACTTCAGTGTTGAGGAGGCAATGTGTGGGTCTCTTCCAGTTTTCCACAGGTAGTTTTCTTCAGAACAGACTCATTTCTGGGGCCATGCTAAGGTTCTGGAGAAAACCAAAATAATTCCAAAGGGTGCACATTGGCACTTCTCCTAAACATTACTTCTGGTTTAATTAGTCCAAAGGAATTTTTTAAAAATTAATCTTAAAGATTTTTGGACCTGTAGAAATAGATTCCTTCACATTAGTCTGAAAGGTTTTTGAGTTCTGTTCTGTGTAGTGCAAGGTCTAGCGAAAATTTCTTGCAGAAGCCACATGTTGGTTCCTGCAGCTCTCATGGATTTCTTTGTGCCAATAGTCACAATATGGCTACCTGCCACGATGGTAGGGTCAAACCTTAGATAATGCAAAATGAGCAAATGATGGTCCTTTCTTTGTTAAAGACTTTGACATCTGTGGATTTTAATAGCTAGGTAAGATGTTATTAATAGTTATTAATATAATAATTTATTGTTAGAAGTGCGGGGAGGACTTTTACAAAAACTGTTGTGGAGTGACTACATTTTTCTGCAGAGTAATAGTATGTTATTATTTTACTACATTGTGTATCCTTTCCTCTTCATTACATTGAATTGTACAACTTTGAAACTCCAACTGAGCAAGTCTCCAAACTTTAAGAATTTGCATGGAATAACTGTGCCTTGGCTGGGTGTTTTTTGACGTGATAGTGTCTACTCATGTCCTTTGCTGGCTTGCTTTCCTTTCTGTGAAGGGCAAGCTAATGAATATTATGACTGGAAAAATAAATGCATGCACCTTCTAAATAACAACATCAGGAATAAGTCCACAGCTCTTATGGCAAGGTTTTAAAAGGTTGCTATGTAATCACTTCCTTCAGAGTCAGCTTCTGTTAGAGAACTCCTGGGATATACTGTGTAGGTAAGATGCTAAACCCTGGGGCCCAGGTGAGGCAGAGTTTTTGGCTCTGGCTTTCTAGTGAGAAATGGGTAAGTTACTTTACTTGTCACTTTGACACAGTTGTCATTGGCTGCTCCCCAATACCTTGTGTCCATTGTCATTTGAGCAGAGAATAAGGCAACATGTGTATATCCAATCCTTTCTAGAGGAAGGAGCTACTGTTTAGCTGTAATTACTCATCTGTAAATACTTTTCATAAAAGGCACAGGTCTCACCTCTGTGCCTGGCAAGATCATGGAGCAAATCCTCTTGGAAACTGTGCTAGGGCACATGGAAAATATGGAGGTGATTGGTGACAGCCAACATGGCTTCACTAAGGGCAAGTCATGCCTGACCAATTTGGTGGCCTTCTATGTTCTGGTTACAGTGTCGGTGGATGAAGGAAAAACAACTGACATCATCTACGTGGACTTCTGCAAAGGTTTTGACACTCTCCTGCACGACATCCTTGTTTCTAAGTTGCCTCTAAATTGGAGAGACATGGGTTTGATGGCTTGGTGAATAAGGAATTGGCTGGATGGTCGCACTCAGAGGGCTGTGGTCAGCAGCTCCATGTCCAGGTGGAGAGCAGTGACAAGTGGAGCTCCTATGGGATCAGTGTGGGGACCAGTGCTGTTTAACATCTTTGTTGGTGACGTGGACAGTGGGATCGATGCACCCTCAGCAAGTTCACCGATGGCACCGAGCTGTGTGGTGCAGGGACACGCTGGAGGGCAGGGATGGCATCCAGAGGGACCTGGAGGCTGGAGAGGTGGGCCCAGGCAAACCTCATGGAGTTCAACAAGGCCAAGTGCAAGGTCCTGCCCATGTGTCGGGGCCATCCCAAGCACAAACCCAGGCTGGGCGAGGAGTGGATGGAGAGCAGCCCTGCAGAGAGGGACTTGGGGGTGTTAGTGGATGGAAAACTGCCTGTGAGCCAGCAATGTGCACTCACAGCCCAGAAACCACCCGTGTGCTGGGCTGCACCCAGAGCAGGGGGGGCAGCAGGGTGAGGGAGGGGATTCTCCCCCTCTGCTCCGCTCTGGGGAGACCCCCCTGCAGTGCTGGGGCCAGCTCTGGGCCCCCAACAGCAGAAGGACACGGAGCTGCTCGAGTGGGGCCAGAGGAGGCCATGGAGATGCTGGGGGGGGCTGGAGCAGCTCCCCTGGGAGGCCGGGCTGGGAGAGTTGGGGGGGTTCAGCCTGGAGAAGAGAAGGCTCCGGGGAGACCTTCGAGCGGCCTCCCAGGGCTTAAAAGGGGGGCAGGAGAGGTGGGGGGGACTCTTTATTGGGGATTTAGGGATGGGACAAGGGCTAACAGTTTTAAACTGAAAGAGGGCAGATTTAGATTAAATATAGGGAAGAAATCCTTCCCTGTGAGGGTGGTGAGGCGCTGGCCCAGGGTGCCCAGAGCAGCTGTGGCTGCCCCCTCCCTGGAAGGGTTCAAGGCCAGGTTGGACGGGGCTGGGAGCACCCTGGGCTGGGGGAAGGGGTCCTGTCCTGGACTGGGTGACCTTTAAGGTCCCTTCCAATCCAAACTGTTCTATGATTCTAGCTGGCTGAACTTTTCCTTTTATGGTCTCTAACAGGAGTAATTGACAATAATAGGAGAAAACCTGAGATATGCAGTAACTTTTTTAAAAAGTGGGATTGCACAGTTTGGAAATCTTTTGGTTTGCTGTTAAGCTATCCAAATGCTTCCTTGATATATGCACTTTGAAACTGTTTTGTTCCATAGTCCACAGTGAAATATAGCATTTAAAACATTTTGACATTGTTGAGTGCCATTTTTAGTGTATCTTGATATAGGTCATATTCTGTTATCTCTTTTCACTTCCAAAGAATTACTTCTATTAAAAACTGAATAAACCTAAGTTTGTGATTTTGCAGCAGAATATGTTAAATGTTCATACAGGAATTACGAGGTAGAATTTACCACAAAACTGTCCCTCTACCAACTCCTGTGTTCACCCTGGCTTGCTACCTCTGCCTGTGCTCTTCTTCCCAGACCACACTCAGCTTCCAGTCCTCAAATGCTTGCCTCCCCTGCCCATCTGGGTGTTGGTTATCTAAGGATTTTTTTTTTTCAAGTCCTTTTCAAACACAAATAATTCTAAACAGGGTGTGGATTATACACTTTCTGGTGGCAGATTCTGGACCTCTGAAAGCAAAGCTCCAGCAGAAGTGTTATATTCCCACTGCACTTTATTACATTCAAGACAGTGTTAGTGGGAGCAGTTAATGGTGCAAGATAAACAGAATTTCTTTCTCAGAGGCAAAATGACTTGCACCATATACTGCCAACCACTTTAAGGTAATCTGCTAGGCAATAAAGAATTTAGGACTCACTTATGATCTGACACTACAATTTTCTAATACTCCCAAATAAAGGATTTGCACCTGACTTATATCACTCTGAAGTCAGAGCACAGTTGGGTCATTTATATAAAGTTAGCCTCAGAGAGCTTCCAAACTGAACTTTACAGAAATTCTTCTGAGTACCCATCCACACTGAGGCTTTCATGTGGTAGTACTGTTTAAATATGATTACTATTTTAGAGGACCTGTAATCTTAAAGAATAAGTGAAAGTATTAAAGCATACAAACTTACTGGGATACTTCTAGGCAGGAATTTTACTAGCTACTTTTTTTTTTTTTGGAGTGTGTGTATATAAAGCCTCCTCTCTCTTACGCTGAACTCTCTAAGTAACTGTTAGATTTTCCTTTTCTGTTTTAACTGTTAGCTTTTCCCTCTCTTCATTTAACCCACCCTCTCAGAAAGAGTCCTAAATACACAAAAAGCTTTTGCAATGTGCCCTGAAGCATGTATACTGATGAAGCACATACAGTGTAATTATGGATAGCACAATACAACATCATGAAGTGCCTTTGTTTACAGCTTCTCTATCAGGAGAGTATAATGAACGGATTCACTGAGGAAATGCAAAAGCAGATGCCTTTGGCTGGCTCCTGTTGTTCTCTTTTTGGCAAAGACAGAGGGACGAATCTACCCTGGGACAGCCCCACTGAAGTCAGATGAGTTACACCAGGCGGGAACTGGAACTTTTTTCTTTTCTTCTTATTCTTTTTTTTTTTTTTTTTTTTTTTTTTAAAGAACAGTTTTCAGATCTCTTTTTCCTGACTGTTACAATTTCGTTTTCCACAGAAAGCCTATGAGAAAAGACTCTCTGCTTCTAAAAAGGTAGGATAACCTTTTATTCACTAATCTCTAATTTCCTCAGCAGTATGAGTTCTGTGTGTATCTACCAATGCTTGTAATCATAAAATTAATATCTAAATATTTCTAGAAAAAAGAAATATACTAAAAAACTAAAATCATATTTATTGAAGGGGACAGTAAGAACAGAGAGTACTATGTGAGGGATGGAGTACTAACACAGCTGTGCTGCTTCAAGTACATGACGTGTGCTTAGAGCTGGCCTCGATATCGGCATATGGTATCACCTTGAAATGTATACACATACCCTGCATGTCCTGAGGTGTAATGTTGGACAGAGCTTCTGAGGGCAGTTGTCTGTGAAAGAATCCAATTTCACATGTCAGTGAAATCTTTAGGGAAGAGGAACCTGTGGCAACTCATAGTATCATGCACATTTGCAAGTGGTAATCTTTAAAACAAGTTTATTAAGGCAGACCTGGGATTGCACTTCACAGTACAGTGTAATAGCAAAAGTTTGCAGGACTGCTGATGCTTTGTGCTTGCTAGTGCTGTAGCCATACTTTTGGGGTTTTTTCCTCTACTGAGGGCCTGAATGGTGCCTCTCATATAAAACCTGCCATTGAGAATTTGCCTTTTGCTGAGGCCTCCTTTGTGTTCACACAAGGCAGCTGGCAGGAGTGCTGACCTCCCCCAAGCAGAGCCTTGCCAGCACTAGCTAATCAATATTCAGTAGAGTCGGCTGCTCATTACGAAGCCATTGATTATCTCTGGAAGGTTACTCCCCCTGTGTGTGTCATTTTTCAGTCTCTTCCCTTTACCCCCCTCCACCCCCCTATCCCAGGCTCTCAAGAGGACAGAGTACTGGGATGGAAATGAGGTTCCCTTTCAGGATCTGAATAGTTTGTCATCAAATGTCAAAACAGTCTTTGGAAAGAAGGTGATTTCCCCGCTGCCAGATTTTTGTTTATACCAGGTTTGTACTTTTAATTTCTGGAATATTTCTAATGATTGCAAGCTGTGGCACTTGAAGTGTTTGTTGTATTTGACTTAGGCAGGTTGCATGAGTTCCGCTGAGCCTTGATCTCCTGTGACTGAAGAAAATAACTGACATCTTTTACACAGTTGTAGCTGACCTGTCTGACCTCTTACACAGAAGGGGAGAGCCATGGTTTCATGTGCCAGCCATGCTATTCACAAGCAAATCAACAGGGAGGCTCATGGGAAAGTAAAAACATGGTGCAAGCCCTCATCTGCTGGTGTGCTCTGCTCAGAGTATGCCCATGTGCAGTACACAGCCAATTCTTCTTTAACACAAGAGGGGAGGCCAGTGAGGTTTGTGTGGGATAATACCTGCCCATTACCCTGAAGCTGGTCTGGCAAAAATCATAGCAAAGTCTCTCCTTTTAAATGTAAATTGTCTGCCTAAGAGTGTATTCAGTCATCAACACAGCAGTAGAGAATCATGAGATAAATAAGCAAGTCTAAACACTCAAATTTATTAGGACTGATAGAGTAGATGCCAGATAAACAGACTGATACAAAAGACTTACTAAAACAATTGTTTTGGTTCATTTGATTTGGTTACTTTGATTGTAAATATAGCATTAATAATCACAGCAGAGATTACAGGTCGAAAAGGCAAGGTCTGAGGTCTCAGAGGAGGGGAAACAGGCAGCTGGAGCTAAGAGACAGATGGGTAAAAGAAAGGCAGGTGGCAGAGAAGACAATATTTATCTCCATTATGCTGCTCAGTTCAAGTTAGTGCCCTCTCCAAAGAGCAGAAACTGCACTGTGCTGTGACCATCTACCTTACAGTGTGACTTCATTAACAGAAAAATTGAACTTGCAGTTGATGGGTAGTAATTCAGTGTCCAACTTTCTGTTTGTAATAAGAGGATTGAAAGACAATAGCTCTCAAGCTTTATCCTGCTTGTCTCAGCTTGGATTTAAGGCATCCCTAAATTCAAGCTAGATGCTTCTGTCTGATCAGGAGTAGATCCAACAATGCAAGTCAAAGCACAGTGGAAGTTATTCACTCTGCGAAGGTGAGCATCTTGTCTTCTCCTGCCCTTGGCACTGAAGGAGGAGCTGTTGCTGCATGGAGAGCAGACCTGCTGTCTGCTTCTGATTTTATACAAAGTGCTATATTACTAGGGAACAGAAAGCCAGAGACTGCATTAATGTTGTGGGACTCCTGTAGTGGATGGCAGTATTTGCTGCTGATGGAACAAAACACAGGCTGTACCTGGTTAGCACCTTGCACTGGTGTGTCTTGGTTCATCTCACAGAGTGGGCTGTCGCTTGTCAGGTGCTGATGATGCAGCCCATGTCTCCAAAGGCAGAAGCCAGCGCTGTGACCATTGCCAGCAATTTGATCTTGTCCAGTCATTAGTACATACCAGAGATGACAGGGACGTGAAAAATGTCAAGTTGGCATTAAGTGGGGTTTGTTTAGCCAAGAGGGTTTCCTGCCAGCTCCCTGTTTTCCTGATCAAGGCATGTGACACAATGGATCTGTCTGATTGCCAGAAAAAGTTTGGTGAAGTGTAAATCAGGAGTTAAAGTAAAGTGGACAATGGAGAGACAGTTCCTCAGCTGACAGAGAGGGAGCAGTCCCTGTCTTGGGAGAAGAGTGACTCCACATGCCATCCTGTTTGTCAGGAAGTACTTCCTTTCTGGTGTCAGTTGTCAGCCCACTGACATTAGTTAAGGTTTTGGCTATTTTCTGCAAAAAGACTGTGTTGCTACTCAAGGGTGAGGATCGCTCACAGTTTTGTAATAAGCTCAGAATAGACATCATTTACATGCAGTTTGGCTTTCAGCTGTCTTTAACACACCCGAGATGTATTTAAAGGTTGAGATGAAGGACTAATGTTATGCCTTGGTCAGAGAATATTATCAGTGTATTACAAAGGAAATCTTAACAGAGAGCATACTGTTCCCATTCCTCTATTAGGCAGAACTCTCTCTGTCCCATTTATATTGACATTACCCTGTAGTAATCATTGCGGTCCTAGAGGGAAATACTGAATTGAATGTGTTTCTAGCTATTGCAGCAGACAGAGTAAAGGAAGTTAGCCTGTTGGGACCAAACAGCTCACACCAATCACCAGCAAATCTATCTGATGCAGCACAAACATCAGTCTTCTGTATGTCCTTTTCTTATTGTTCATACCACTTGTGCTTTGGGATGTAGTATGTTCTTAGGGAAGCAGAGTCCTCTCAGGGGTGCAGTGACAGCCAGTGGGTTAAAGAGCAGTAACGTCTTTGTGAAACACTGTATGAAAAAACTCCAAAGAGACGTGAAATGCCTATGAAGCCATCTTTTGTGTTTGGCAAGTCAAATTTAACCACAGAGTACATTCACATTTTTCCTCCTGGATTTTCATTATGCAGATTGTGCCTTCTAGCTGCACACAGAAAAGAAAGATCTCATAGAAATAATGATGTCCTGAGTATGTATTATGTTGAATATGAGAAGCCTGCATTTGTTTCAAGCATGGCTTTTAGTGGAGAAAGAGTATGTGTTTCTGTCTTGGCAGCAAACATGGAAGGAGGTACGGAGAGATTAACTGCGTAAAGACTTTTTATAAAATCTCATGTCAGTGTGATCATACAGTCAAAATAACTGTAGGACTGACCTCCACGAGTGGTGGGTGCAGAGCATGAGTTCTCATATTTGCAGTGTAGCAAATTAAATATCCTTTGAAATTCATGAGTGTAGAATAAAATTTTGAAAGATCAAGAAGACTCTTGGTGAGAATGTCATTCTTGTGTTTTTGAAAATCCCTCCCTTAAGGAGCATAGATGTGAAGTAATGGCTGATATTTTGGGCTCTGCAGATTCCCAGAGCAACTGTATGTCATGTGGCTAACAGTCTACAGACTTTTCAGACTACTTTGGTGTGGGTCTGAACCAGTGTGTCTGTTCATACTGGAGATAGCTATGGTCACTGAACCCATATGGACCTCATTTTATTAGAGAACTCCATAAAAAAAATTAATATACTGTTGTCTGGAAATAATAAAACTCCATCATCCCTGAAATGTATGGGAGGCCATGCAGACTTTAGTAGCAGGTATGCCAGTTAGGATCCTGCTGTGTACTTGTCTTTAAAATGACTGACCAGAAAGTATTTTCAGTAATCCTTGTCCCCAGGCAGCAGACTATGTGAACCATTTGTGCAAAAGTCAGCATTTCACATTACAAATGAAATATATTTCTATTAGATAGAGGTGAGCTATTACCCTGCATCATCAAATACTGTCTTCTGGGTTTTTTTGTCTTTGATTAAATACCAGTAAAAAGGCCCGCTAAGTAATCTGTCTTGTGTGTTTGTTACCTGAATTGTGATTGTGAAGGTGCTACAGATCTCTGTTGCTTTCCACTTTGGAGTTGTGCAAGTATTTTCTCCTGAGTTGATGAAGCATAATGTAGGTTACTCACTGTTTGCCATCAGTACAACCTCTGAAAGCGAAGAGAGATTCTAGATTCATTTGTCTGCAGTTAGAACTTGCTTTCATTCTGGTACTTCAAAGCTGTTGCAGAAAGAGTACACTCTTTCTGGTGATAAGTGTTACTAAATGACAGGTGAAATTGTTGTATGCAATGATTATACTTCTCAGATACTTGCTCTGCAGTCAAGAGAATGAGTTTGTGTCGTTGCCCAAACAATTTAAATGTGGCATTGGTATGTAATAAACTCACCATTAGCTTTCTGATAACTTATGTTAACTTTTATTGTAAAGAAGCACTTAGAAGATGACTATGTCCTTTGCAAAGAAGGAAAAAAGAATGATAAAAAAGAACTTGTTACTTTGCAAATGTTAAAGATTTTTTATGGTAAAGAACAAAAACCAAAAGAGCTTGGAGGACGAGGCCTTTCAGGAGAGGATATAGTTTCTATTATAGAAAGTCAGGACAACATTATCTTTTCCTTTAAATATGGCTGTACTGTTTTTGTATAGAACTTTTTTTTGTATAGAATTTATCACCATGGTGTCTGAGTGCCTTCTCCATGA